AGCCAGCATGCTGGCTGGGGAATTCTGGGAGTTGAAGGCCACACCTCTTCAAGTTGCTGAGATTGAGAAACTGCACTGTGGACAACCCTTTTTTTCCAAAAGCAGAGAAGGCTCATAGATTTCACCAATTTAGGGAAGACAAAATGGCATATACTGGAGCAAAGACCATGCTTGGATGTTCTGACACATGATTATCAACCATGGATATTTGGATGTTATATCTTAAAAAGAGTTCGCCCTTACCTAGTTGTTTACGCTGGCTTCCATCTCTTAAGACAGCTAAGGGTGTCATTCCTTCAGGCATGTGGTCGTACAGCTGGCAAAAAACCTTTTCCTGTTGATCTTCATCATCGTTCTGATGTACTGGGGTGACAAGAATAAATACAAAGGAAATAGAGGATAAACATTGGTTTACTTTCAGTTGCTGCCCAGGTGAGGTGCCTTCAGGCCTGCTGAGCAAAGGATACCCCATAGCAACCACCAGCTCCAGAGCCTGTATTTCTCCTGAATTATGGTTTCTCACACTTCAGTCTGTTCATAAGTTCATTGAATGATCAGTTCCCCAGATGCAATCTTTCAGTTAGCAGATTAAAAGCCTCTTTTCAAACGTTGGTTGAACGTTTCTCAATCTCAGCAATTTTAAGAGGTGTGGACTTCAACTCCCAGCACACCAAGAAAAATAGAGTATCAGGGAAGTTTAGTTGTGCCTAATTACAACATATTTCCTATTAAGGGCCAGTCGTATCTGATGCTTTACCATTTGTTTTAAGTGGAAACTACCTTAATGAATTTATAATCCATCTAAATTTCAGGGGTAGATTTCTTTCTCCTATCTGTTGCTGAAAGTTCATATTCAAATACCAAAACATGTTCCTTTCCTTTAAGTAGGGCTGGGAAAATCAAAGATCTTTTATGTAAACTAACAATAAAAGCAATGCATGTTTACCATCTTCCTGTTATCATCACTATAATTTACTTCATTTTACTTTATTACAGTCATAGACCAGTACACATCACTATAATTCAGACAAGGTATGATGGGACTTTAGTCCAAAACATCTAGCAAACGTAAGGTTGCCATCATGTTTTACAGAATAGCTGCCTTGCAAATGCTACTAAATCCTTTTCTTTTTAAAAAATTTTTACTATGTAATGAGATTATCCAAAACTATTTGTTAAGGATAGTGGTGAACCAGTTATCTAAATACTTTCATATAAGCCTGTTAAATAAATAAATAATAGGTGGAGAACAGCAGGATACATTGAAAGGCTGAACACAAATCAGGCATAGAGTTTTTTGATGGGGAAGTAAAATAAACTCTTGTAACTCTTTGGTAGTAGCCTTCTTCAATGGGTGTCACCAGATATGTCAGTATCACAGGATGGAGACAGTACTATTCTTTAAACTCCTTTCCCCTACTTTTTTCATTCTTATTCTAATATTTAAAGAGGGACATAAAATATTCAGTGAATCCATTTTCTTCATTTTGGAGAAGCTGAAGAGCGCTTCTGGACACTGCATTTTGGCAATGTGAACTTCAGAGGAAAGGGCTCCAGGACTCACAAGAGTTGTGGGGCCTGTGTGTGCAGGGACCCCAGTGGTATCCACAGGGTGGGCTCCAAAAAAATCAAGATAGTGGCCTCAACCCCATGATCAAAGTTGCCATCTTGATTTTTTAGGATCCCTCCCCCCACAGACCCCCCAAATAGAAATGAATATGGCATACTTTCAGAATGGTTCCATTTCTTAGTCCATAGATAGGTAGGCAAGTGAATGTACAAATCTGAAAATCCCCTTACACTGGTGGTCGCTCAACATAGTTGCCACAAAATAATGCGCCAGAGCTCTGAAATGATCTGATTTGACTTGGGCCAGTTTTGACCAAGAGTAGGGGATGTTCTCCTTGACTGGTGCTTGACTCATAGCTGTGTCCAACAGCATGTACATCTCTCCAACCTTAAAAACAAAGCACAAGATCCAAGTATGAGCTACTGACTTTATATTAAAAGCACACTCAGGGCAGTCAGGGTTGGTGCAGATCAATTATACAGTTATTGGAGTCTGTACGTTAAAAAAAATGCATATTGTGCTAATAAAGAATAAAAATGAGAAAGGACTTTTACAGATCACTGTAGAGGACCGTGTTTTCTTCACAGACATTCATCATTGAATCGAAAAGGCTGAGAATAACTTTCAGAAAGAGAAACAGCGTTCTAATCTTCACTGTTGAAATGAATTTTGGGGGGGGGGGTCACTACAGTATTACAATATCTCTTCTGTTGCTTCCCTAGTATCAAATAATAGGAAAAGCGTCAGCTTCCTTTGATTCTTGGATGGCTACTATATCCCCAGGCAATCATCATATTGTACCAATGTCACCAAATGATCAAGATGCACCTTCCACTCTTCTCTCACGCAGCTTACCTTCGCAGCTTCCTGGGCCATTTTTATAAGTGTGAAAAATTCATTCCGTATCCCAGGAAGGCAGATCTGTTCAAAGACGCACTCCTGAGCTTGAGTAAGCATCATCTTGACCAGCACACTCAACATGGCAGGGCTCATATCATAACTTGGAGTGTGAGTAAAAGTTTCTTTTAGATAGTTTAGAACTCCTGAAATTGGGGAAGAAACAGAAAACAAAAATACTAGAACATCAGTTCTTTTAGAAAGAACTTGCAGAAAACACAATGGTGGCTGCATTCAGCCAGTCATCTCTCAGTCTATGATTAGATTTACATCTTTGTGTCATACAAACATTACCGAGACAAGGTAAAGCCTGTCTTCAGTACTATTACTTTGTTATAAAGATTGCTGGAGGGTTCTAGAACAGTGTTTTTCAAGTCAACTTTAAGATGTGTGGACTTCAACTCCCAGAAATCCCTAGTTAGCATGCTGGCTGGGAAATCCTGGGAGTTGAAGTCCACACATCTTAAAGTTGACAAGCTTGAGAAACACTGGCCTAGAAGATACTGTAAGATGTCGAGTTTTCTCTCCCACTCCCACTTCCCAACAACACACAAATATGGGAGCAATAATCACCTAGTCTTCTAAAAGGTGCTTTCAATGTCACAATTAGGGGCAAGATATAAAACCTTGGAAACAACCAATTTCCAGCATTCATTAATGAATTTGTGAAGGAGAAGTTTCTTCTCCTCAAGCTTTTTTGCAACCTGAATGGACCTGTCACTTAAGAGATAAGCTACTAACAAACTCCACTCTTATCTCTTGGCTGTTTTATGTCCAACATTCCTTGTGTTACTTTCCCAGCCTCTCCACAATCTTTCACAGTCCCTGACAGTCTAACCATGACATGACATTCAAAGTTGGGAGCTACAGTTAAGGACTTTGAAACAAATCAGTCCAGAATTTGGGGAAGGAGACTCATTTATATGTGATCACATAAGCTGAGTTACACTCCTTTAAACCCAGTCCACATCCACAGCTAACAAAATATCAAGTTTGAAACTATTTCAGCTGGCAGGAAAAATCCTTCACAATGAAATTATTCATCCATGCATTTCCGCCTCAAACATCAAAGGCTCTTAATGACAGTTTGGGCAAGGTAAACATTTTTGATGTAGCCAAGTTGCACATGTGCAAAAGGATAAGGTGCACATAACTATATAATTCAGTTTACATATGCTCCTGGTTTCTAGCGAGGAACACCAGATATTAAACAAGCAGCAAAGGAACAAAAAAGGCAAAAAAATGTTGGTAGATAAGTTCTAAGATATTTTCCTGCCTATCTCACTTGCTATGCCATCTTTATTCATTTTATATAATCCAATGCATTTTAATAAGCAATAGTTTAGGGCCCAAACAGATACAGTGCAGAAAACGTGTGTGGAGATCTCAATTTTTTTATTATTATGATTTGAAAGCAGTTGCAAGGGTTCCAGTTCTGATTATGAAAGATGGAGATCACATCCCTATTTCTGTTATCAATAGTTTGTACTATGAAGCTGGTGGAATGACTTCACCCCTGATCCTCTCACTCTACCTAGTCTAACTTCCAAGATAAAATTGGGTGGCATGAATATATTTTTAAATACAATACTATCATCATGACAATTGAGAGGAGGAAAAACAAAGGGGCCCTTGGGAATTTGAGAAATCTCTGAGCAACTCTATAAACCAACACCCAAATTTCCCCACAGGGAAGCCAGAAGCTCATTCAGGGCTGTGACAAAGTGACAAGTCCCTCAGCAGGCAAACTTTGCCAGATTGAACCAAGCTGGACCTAATTCAAATAAATCCCAAACAAACCAATTCTTTGGGAACCCTTAAAAACAAACATTTGCTGAAGCTTCAAATCCTTAGTAGCGCTCAGCAGGGCTGAAATATGATCATCAAAAAATGCATTGTTCCCAACTGGTTTGTCAAGTTTTATCAGCGAGTTTTAATTGCACAAAAATGGATCGTTGCACTGCGCCCTGCTGCAAACCCTCCCTCTCTCCCACCCACCCAACATTTGGCTGCCGCATTGAAATTACAGTTATTATTATCTGAAATTAAAACTTGAGGCAATGTCAGTCCTGTGGGTGGGGATAGGGGAACCTAACATACCTCACTCAAACCCATTCTCTCAAAAACTCATGTATACAAACAAACCGAGGATTGTTGAGAAAAAGAGAGAGCCTGAAGTCTTGACGAGATTGCATTTTTTCCACTCCTACTACAGACAAACTGTAATTTGGGCTGCTTGTTTGGTAGGAAAGAATATGTGCTGGAGATCTTGCCGAGAGGGTAACTGGGTTGACCTACCATGCTATGCTTTAAACCATGGTTTTCAAATTACAACAGCAAGGTTCACCCAGCATGCTAAGACAAACTTGGACAAATCAAAATAGGATTCAGCACCATTTGAATCTAACCAGTGATTGGGGATGCTTGCAAATTTGGGTAGCCTTATTAGAAAATCGGCCTCCTAACCCTACATCTGTTGGGCTAATCTCCAGACGGTATGGGCTGTTTTATATAGCAACTCTGACAACATTAAAATATTTTTTCTTTCCCAAAGGGGAAAAAAGTCAGAAACCTCTGATAACACTTAGCCGAATCCTCCATTTCTTAAGGATTTGAGAAATGTTTATTTTATCGCTCTCCAAGTCCATAAAACAATATTTATTTGTTCTTTCACCATATGCTCTTCAGTAGCACCTCCCTCTATGTTTGCGTGTTCAGGGCTGTGTTTATGGATGAAAATCTTAGCAACAATCATTCTGTCCACAAAAGGCTATGAGCAGGGGATGAATAATATCGCATTATCAGTTTTTGATAACTGAACATCCAGCCCTCTCCCATCTTTTTAAAAAGGTGCTAAAATGTATTCCCCCAACTTTTTTTAGTTTGGTCTTCAAAAAAATTAGGTCGTCGTTTTCATAAAGGTTATCTTTTGGTGGTGATACTGGTAAACTCAGTATTCAGAACCATTTTTTCACATTATATATCCCTACATATGAATTTGCCTCCTCAGTCGAACATGGTTGCTCCTAAGATTTTATTACAAAGAGGGACAGGTCTCTAGACTGACAATAGTAGTAATTATGGCACTCAAAATGACATATTCATGCTTTGGAACTTAAACTGCAGTAAGTTATATACCGACTGATAGAAAGCCAGTGGAGGCATATTACAACAGAGATCCACATGTGAAACTTGCCAACTCAGGGTTCAAGAGACCCCTCTTCCTTCCAACTCATTATTCATGAGTTAGATGGTCATATAATTTGAGCAAACAAACAAACAAATATTGCTGAAAAATCACAGCAGCAGGAAAGGCATTGGGGCCATCGTGTAAGATTGCACAATGGTGTTCCAGACAGAAAAGGTTGCTGATCCCTGCAAGTAGCAGGAAAAAAAAGGGGGGTGGGTGGGAAGGACCATGATTGCAAAGATTGGAAAGCAGTTAATTACGGTCCAAAAGTATACAGCATTTCAAACTGTAAGTCATTGTCAACAACAATATTTGCTTTGGTTAAACAGCCTATTTAGGTGCCTCCCATAAATCTGGCAGGGAGGAGGGTAGAAGGAGTTAACAATACATTTTGAAAAGAATGTTTTAACTAAAAAAAACCCCGTCCTTGCTATTCTTGTTGACAATTCTTTGGGTTTTAATTCTGCCTCCCTTGGATGTCCAAAGAGTGTGAAATTAAGCTCAGAAAGTCACCTGACAGGGAACCGAGACAAGGCGGAGGAAATTGCAGCTGCAAACAAGCGGATTAAGCCATTCAATCTCCAAGCATTTCTTTAGAGGAGGGGCTCTGGGGAGGATGACCCCCCTCTTCTCTTGTTCCTACCTGCTGCCCTCTGAAAAGCATTGATGGCCTTTTGAAGCCCAGCTTCAGTCTGGCGGTTGCATCTTGTGCCAATCTGTGTGTAGAGAGCTCCAATATTAAATAAAATACTGGCTTTTTCAAGCAACACATTCTTCTGACAAACGGGGACCCCCGTGAAAGAGTCATACCTTCAATAAAAACCAAAAAGAACATAAACGTGAATGACCCAGAGAAGAAAAAGGGGGGGAAATGATTCTATTTACAATGTTTCCAAGATGTCACAAAACCATTCTTTTCCCATTAACCCCAGTTTAGATCCCAACATATAGTTTGTATCCCAGTTGGTATAGACACTGCCCTGTGATTCATCTCAGTAACAGACTGGTTTCCATGCTGGGCTAAGCCATGCTTTGTTTAACTATGGTGGGCTGAATAAAATGGTAAACACAACCATTAATCCACAACTAAAGAAATCACTTTGTGACTTAGCATGATGTGTGAACCTGGCCACCATTCCTTTTGTACTTTCACTGAGGGGCAACAATTCCCTCTAGGGCAGTGTTTCTCAACCTTGGGCCTTTAAGATGTGTGGACTACAACTCCCAGAATCCCCCAGCCAGCATGGCTGGCTGGGGAATTCTGGGAGTTGAAGTCCAC